TTAAAATTAAGTAATTAAATTTAAATCTTTGAGGAATTTAAAATTTGTGCAGAAATCATATTTGGTCTGTTCAGTTCTAGTAAATTGATTAACCATTTGTTTCATTGAATTTAAATTCTAGTGTCCTTCCTTCCTAAAATTTTTCAACTAAATTAATGAGTCTGGTGGACAACATAATGGCTTATTTGGTTAAATTTTGACATCCCATATGAATGCTGGTTCATGTCCCCACTGTTCCACTTCCCAACCTGCTCCCTGCCTATGTCCTGGGAAACCAGTAGAGGATGGCACAAAGCCGTTGGCCCATGTACCTACATGGGAGGCCTGGAAGAAGATCCTGGCTTCAGACTGGCTCAGCTCCGGCTTGTTGCAGCCGTTTGGGAAATGAACCAATGCTTGGAAGAGCTTTTTCTTTCCCTCTCTATGAATCTTATTGCCTTTTAATAAAAACAAATAATTCTTTTAAGATACTCAATACTATGTCAATTAATTCCATAATGTTCTATATAGATACTGAGGTTTTGTTGGGGCTTTTAACTGACCTGAACTTTACTCTGTTAGCTGTACCTTCAGACCAGAGAAGGTCTCCCCAAGAGGCCACTGAACTTATCTGGACAAAAGACACTGGTCTTTATGCTAGGTATATGCTTGCAAGGAAGGAATCTCAACTGAACTTGAACTGTGGTTATGCAGCAAGGTGGAGGAATCCACCATGGGGGGAGGGGTATGGGAGGGGTGGTGGAATCCCCAGTGCCTATAAAACTGTATCACATAATACAATGTTAATAACAATAAAAAAAAAAGATATTTAATGAGGCTGTAACAGCAAATCTTCAAATATTGAATGCTCAACACCTAAACATTCTTTGGATCTTGAAATTAATGAAAGCAATTAAGTAGCCTTGAAATATTTTAGAGCAAAATTTTGAAATTTGTGCATATTTATCTTCATAATAGGCATTTTCCATGACAATTTTGAATATTCCTGGCATATCAACAGTGAAAAAATATATTTTTGTCCCTTTAGTTCCATTTGTAAATATATTTAGAAGTAGCAAATTAGTCTTATCTGTAACTCCTATTTTACTGTATTTCATATGTATCCTCTTAATGAGGGTATTTTTTTAAAAATCACATTTTACTATATATATATATGTTTTCATATGCCACACTTTACAAACAAGTTGTACTCAGTGAGACAACTAACAGCGATATCTGTATAAGATGCCTAATCTAGTTGGACTAACAGTTAAGAAGCCTAGGTACAGAAGATGTTACATGAGTGAATTTCGTTAATCCTGAAAAATACCAACCTTAGGATTTCTCTTTGCAGATTTTTATCTGCCTCATGATTAAATAGATGTAAATGATTTGATAACACTCTTATCAGCAGAAAGGTAAACATATTTTTTTCCATTTTCTTATTATATTTTTGACAATCTTTACATAGTTAATTAGCATAAAAAGGTTCCAGGGCTACAGGAAATTGGGTAAGACTATTAGTTCCATATTGCTTCCTTCATATATCTGAGGTAAAGGGGGATTTTAAGGGAGAAGTCCCACCCAGTCTCCCACCCTCCCCAGGTCCCTGATGTGGGGCATGCTCCAAGGGTCTTGCTCAAGTGGTTTTGATAGTTCAACGGTTCTGAATTGCTGCCAGTCTCACCACTCCAAGCACTATGAGGTTGCTGGAGAATCCACTGATTGACATAGTCCATCATAGAGTCTCCGTTTGCCCTGTTCTTCATTGCCATATAGCCGAGGTGGTTGATTGACTTGTTCTGTCGTCTGTCTTTTCTTGGTTAGGATTCTGAGTCCGGCATTTCGATTGGGGAGATCCCCAAAGAAACTTTGAGGTGTTCCCAGACCAGATTCTTGTATGTTGTAGCAAGCACAGGGCCCAGCACAGTCTATCGACCTGATCAGCTGGTGGTTGCAATTGCTGGGTTGGTTCTGTTTCCAGCCCTGTCTTCCACTGGAACCAATGGATGTTGAAGTCCAGCCTGGTGCTGCCCAACACATACTAGACCCTCACATAAACTGAGAGCTGCAGCCTAGTTGGAATGAACCGCAATAACCCCCACCAGGCCCACCCCCTGCCCTGGTTTGCCAGTGTATGTAACAGACTAGTCCAGTCTGTCCCACATCCCATTCAGCTGTCATACATGTCAGTGGGTATTAAAGCCTAGTTCCATCTAACCAGCTCAACCATCCAGCCCTCACGGATGTTTTTGGGTATCTCTCTGTTTAGCCACCCAAGCCCCTGTCCTAGTTTTTCGGCCTCCCGTGGAAGTGGTAACCCAAGAGGGAGGAGCCAACTATTTCCCTCCCAGGCCTCTCCCACTCCTGGATTATGCACCCTCCAGGTGGTTCTGTAGTTTAACTTGACAGAATTAGCCTCCATTGCCAGCTTCTGCCAGCTGATGCTGCGGCTAAGCCCAAATAACCTTCATCTACTCTAATTTTGTTTGTACCAATAGGAATAGTCAGCCCAGCCTGGCTTTTCCCTGATCTAGTCCACATGAGGCCCACAGGTGTTGTAACCCTGCCTAGTCTTGTGTGCCCCATTCCAGCTCACATTCTCCAGTGGGAGTAGCTGTCCAGCAACAGAACCTTCCCCCTTAATTCCCCTCCTGGTTCCGCCCCCTCCCTCCCTGGTTCTCACACGTGCTGTTGGGCACTGGAGTCACATCCGGTACAGGTAACCTCACCTTGGCATTCTGTAATGTGCATTGGTTTTTGTTATGACCAATCTTGCCTCAACCCATACTCTGTTCTGGTGCTTGGATCTGGCAGTGGATGATGTGAACAGATTCAGCCTGGTCTGCCCCCGACCCATACCAATTGTATGCCAGTGGGATAATTTCCAGGCCTGTTCTGGGCTGTTTTCTATCATGTTTCTTGTGCTTACCTGCCGGGTTTGTGTCCTGCCAGAGGAGTTGCCCAGGCTTCTCCATCAGAACCTCTCCCAATGCCAGGTTTCACGCTTACCAGTGGGTCCATGAGCCAGCACTACTCAGTTCATCTCCTGTCTTAGCAGGAACAGTGACTTTTCCTGACTGGCCTTCAACCCAATCTGATTCTTGCTGTTGGATGTTTCAACCCAGCCATGGCTTTTCCCTACCCACATACAGCTCATACATGGCTCAGTAGGGGCTGAGACCTAGCGTAGTCCGTCTCATATCTACCCAGGTCCTCCAGAACACCAGAAGGTGTTGGAGTCTGGACCGGCTTCGTGTGTCCAGTACCAGTCCACACTTGTGCCAGGGGAGACTACAACTGTATCCTGATCAGAATGCAGCCCCCATTCCAGGTCACATGCCCCTTGGTGGGAACCTCAACCCAGCTAGAATTGTCTCCTTAGCTCCCCAGCCGGGCCTGTTTCCAGCTGTAGATCACGCATGTTGCCAGTGGTTGCTCTGACTCAGCGTGGCACAGCCCCTCGCCTGTCAGGCCCCTGCCTTAGACACTGTGACTTAGCATCCCTGCCTCATGCAGACCAGTAGGTGCAAGAGCCTAGCCCTGTTCTCCATCCTGGTTTCTAATTTTATTTATGCGCTAAGGTTTGCTCAGTCCTGCCCAGTATGCCCCGTTCTTTTACCATTTCACACATTGGCCAGCCGTTGGAGCGACTTTGCCCATCTTGTCCGACCCCCAGGTCTGGACCACATGTTCACCAGCAGGAGCTATGACTCACCGGGGGAATTTCCCAAGTTCCTTCACTTGATCCACTCCCAGACCCAGTTCTCATACATGCCATTGGGTTTTAGGCAGTGCCCGAAGTAGTCTGGCCTTCCATTTAGCCTTGTATGAGCTGGTGAACATTGCAACTCGGCCCACCCCACACCTTATTCAGGATGCATATTCAGGTGCTGCTGCCTTGACCAGTCCAGACTGTTGTCGTTTTCTTAACCTGTGATTGATGGCAGGCTCCTTGGTCACACCTAGCTTAGTCTGTCACCACCCCATCTCTTGAACTAACCTGTGGGGCTAGAATTTCCACAGGGTTTGGCCCACACATCCCCCACAGAATCTTCCCCGGATATGGTTCTCTAGTGTGTTAGTTAATGTTGTGACCCTGCCTAATGTCATCTGTCTCCTGACCCACCATCATGTCAGGTAATAGGATATCCTCCTGCTAGACAAGCCCTGAGTCTTTGGTTTAGCATGGACTGGTGTTCGGTGGTCAGCATTCTTAGTGATTACAAGTTCTTCAAAGGAAAAGTTACTCTGTTGTTGGGAATCTATAGGATTGATTCACATCCCAGAAGCACAGTGAGTTCAACATGGAGCTACATAAGCAGTGATTCAAAGAACCAAAACCCCAGAGCTCCTCGACCGGGTGGCCAGCAGGCAGAGCCTGGCGCCAAATGGCACACTGGCTGTATGGAGACAGCTCACCACATGCACATGGTGGCTGGAGTCAGGGATCTGAGCATGCAGATGCCCCGGCCGGAGACCCACCAGCAGCCAGCAGGCCCAAGGTCACGCTCCTCCCAATCCCATCCCCCACCTGATGATGGCATCAGGTGAGCCCTGTGCCTGCCCAGGCCCCTGAAACTCCCCCCTCAGTGTACTCACCCCAAAGGGAGCAGCCCCAGAACCCAGGCAGTCCAGGGACAGCTCACCACTTGCACACGGTGGCTAGAGTCAGGTGGTAAACAGATTATTTTTTTTCACTTTTACTTTAGAACATTTGATTCATCATGTAGGATGGATTGAGACAGAAAATCAAAATTCCAAATCTTTTAATGAAAACTCTTACACTTAAATTAAAAATATGAAAAATATAATACAGTATCAATGAATTTATTATCTAGAAAGAAATGCAAATAACATTGAGAGAAATTAGGAAATATGCAGGATACAAAGATGGTTATTATTAGTAATAGCATTAATTTAGGGATTTACTTTTGGAACCTGTATTCTTTATAGAAACTTTCTGTAATGTAGTCTTTAGAGATCATCCTTTTTAGTTGAAAATTATCTTTATTTTTAAGATCCATTTTTTGAGCCATCAAGCGGCCAAGTTCCTTTGCCCCCTGCCAGGAGATTACCAGGTGAAAATGTCAAATCCAACAGAACATCGCAGGACTATGACCAGCTTCCTTCATCTTCAGGTGAGTGGCTGCCGTTGCTCAGTGCTTTTTCTTTTCTTCATATAATCCAAAGAGCACTTTCTGCCTAAGAAAATACTTTTATAATATTTGTCATTTCATGGTCAAGCATGTATTATGAGACTAGTGCTTCTTCATGGAAATAGTGAAGATCATAATTAATATTTTCTATCAATAAAGTCATTCTTTTCCAAATTTATTCATTCTTGGGAGTGGCTTTTGGGCTAACATTTAAGACACTGATTAAGGCTTTTTCATACTTGTTACGACATGTAGGGGATACAGAATTGCTTCTACTTTGTGTATTTGGTTGTGGCATATAGTTCAAAGAAAAAAATTTTTAATGTCAGCAGAGAACATTCTTTTTTTTTAAAAGGGTTTATTTATTTTTATTAGAAAGTCAAATATACAGATAGGAGGAAAACCAGGAGAATCTTTTGTCCACTAATTCACTCCCCAAGTGGTCGCAATGGCCTGAGCTGAGCCAATCCGAAGCCAGGAGGCAGGAGCGGGTACAGAGGCCCAAGGATTCGGGCCATCCTCGACTGCTTTCCCAGGCCACAAGCAGGGAGCTGGCTGGGAAGCGGGACTGCCAGGGATTAGAACCTGTACATCTCGGCATGTGCAAGTGAAGGACTTGAGCTACTAGGCCACAGTGCCAGGCCCACAAAGAAAAATCTTATTAACCTTTTCAAGTTTTGGTTCTCTTATCTGTGTTTCTTATGATTTGAGAATTTCAGTTGCATCAACGGGTAACCTACAGAGCTAGAGGTACAGATTTGGTGAGAAAATGTGGAAATCAAGGGGATAGACGGTGTGTGCCAGCTTGTATGTGGCACAAGGAAGCAGGTTCTTTAAGGACATAATGTTAAAATACAACTACCAGGAACAAGAAATACAACTACAAGGAACAAGAAATACAACTACAATGAACAAAGAATTCTGTGAGAATACTTCGATATGCATTATCTATAATATTTAATGGACATAAGACTTACCCTGCTTAATAATGGAAATAAATATTTTTGTACCAGAGGTTTTATTTTTATGTATGTTAAAATGACATTTTTAAAGTTTGTGCACAATATCTTTTAGATCCTTTTGCATGGAAAAATATCATACTTCTTTTCAACTTAAAAATATAAAACAATTATTTTTCAATTTAAATTTGCTACTGATTCAAAGTTTCATTATACCATACCTCCTGAAGCTTTTGCAGAGTTGGTGACACAGAAAGGACAGGAGACGGGATTGGGACGTGAATACTAGACATTGGACTTCAAGCTTCTCTTCACCATCAGCCATCTCCTGAATTATTAGTTGGCATTTGGCAACGACACAAATGAAAAGTCCTGAATACATACAGCTGTCCAGATAACCTTAAATTCATAAATATGCTTACTAGAACAGATTTTGTTTCAAATTATTTCTTCCCTTTATTTTGTTTACAATCCACACATAATAATTGTATATAAAGTGTGATGTTTCCTTATATGAAAACATGTGTGATGGCTGCATCAGAGTTATTCATATATATTAATATATTAACTTGCCTTCAGCAGTTAAATTTTTTTTGTAATGAGCTCATTCAGAAGCTTCTTCTCAGTATTTAAATGGTATCTGTTTTTAAAAACCTTCACAGATGGTCCACAAGCACCAGCCAGACCCCCTAAACCACGGCCCCGCAGGACTGCACCGGAAATTCACCACAGAAAACCCCATGGGCCTGAGGCAGCAATGGAAAGTGTTGATGCAAAAATCGCAAAACTCATGGGAGAGGGTTATGCCTTTGAAGAGGTGAAGAGAGCCTTGGAGATTGCCCAGAATAATGTGGAAGTGGCCCGCAGCATCCTCCGAGAATTTGCCTTCCCTCCTCCGGTCTCCCCACGTCTCAATCTATAGCAGCCAGGAGTGGAGTCACCAAAATGAAGAGCAATTGACAGATAATTCCTGGAGTAGGGAAGAGAGAAGACCGATATGGAGCTCACGTGTGAAGGTGTGCATACGCACACGGCACCAGGGGCGCGCTCCTGCTTGGAGTGGAACTTCGCAGAGCCCAGCTGTTTGCTCAGGATGTCCACGGCCGCTGCAGCTTCCTTGTTTTTGCTAGCCATACTTTGAAATCAGGGTTGAACTGACAAATAATTTAAAAACGTTTACTTCCCTTGAACTTTGAATCTGTGAAATGCTTTTCCTTGTTTACAAGTTAGCAAAGTTGCAGTTTGTGTGTGGTTTTGTTTTCTGATACCTGTACTGTGTCCTGGACAAGCCTTTTGTAGAATAGTCAGGTCTGCTGTAACGTCACCCACCAGCCCTCTCACTCTCCATGGAACAGGTGCATCTCCTGTTTGTTTCCTGCCAATCATGCCCTCCATCCCAGGTCCAGTTCCATTTCTGTCATTTATAAAATGCTTTAAGGTTCTGATTTTCAACATATCAAACTAATGCAAAAAAAGAAAAACAGAAGTGTGTGTTCTTCACTACTGAGACTTTTCCTTGGAAACCATCATGAGAGATGGGAAAATCTGAATGTATAAAACATTTATTTGTCAATAAACTGCCTTTTACAAGGGGATTTTACATAACATAGAGGAGCTTCCCTTTTAAGTGTGAGCTTCATGACCTTAAATCTTCGCTGTTCTCATTGCTGTCATCCAAGGGGTATAAAAATCTAAAATGTAAGACAGCAACGACCGCAGATGATGCAGAAATAAACTCACTCTCATAGGACAGTGCTACCGTGACAGTGCATAATGAGATCTCACAGCACGTGTGCCTGTGTTACTTCAAGGCAAGCAGAGCAGGAAGGCCATCCCCAGACACGTATTAATAACTTCTAGATAAAATTATGGACATGGGTGTCCCAGCGTGCACTGGAGTTCACTTCCTCTGCCAGTGATTACACTCTGATCCCAAGAGCTGCATGAGCGGTTCCTATTGCAGTAGAAATGTTAAATCTGCACCAAGTGCCACAGCACTTCAGAGTTCTTAGTAATTTTCCCTCTGGTGAAGTCAGGGTTCATATTTAATCTGTAGAGTGTCTCACTCATTGCCTAAGAGGGTAGTCATTATTGTGAAAAAAAAAAGGATTTTTTCAGGAATCATGTCATTGTTTAGATGAATCTATAAGTGTTTTTGGGCAAAAGTTGTGTGCTTGGCACTGTGAAGCCCTGTATTTTAAGGCACAATTTCTCCTAAGCCATTTTATTCTTTGTCTTTTTGATGACAAAATTCTGCTGCATAAAACCTTACAAATTTCCACAATAGCTTTAGGATTTTCCAGAACCCTGCTTCTTTTGTACCTGAAAAATGATTGGAAATCCAAACCAGGCTGTCTTAGTAAAAGGTAGGAATCCAGGTTTTATAAATATGGAACAACTGGGTATGTGCCACATCTTTTTTTTTTAACAGATTTATTTATTCATTTGTTTGAAAGAGTGTATGTGGGAGAGAGGGTGTGAGACAGAGATCTGCATTTCAGTAGCTGGATGTGTGCCCCAGGTGGAAGCCAGGAATCAGAAATCCATCCAGATCTGCACTGGAGGTGGCGAGGACCTGTGTGGTTGACCTTCTCTGGCCTCCTAGGATGCTGTGCTCCGGGAAGCTCATCGGAGGCAAAGGCAGTGTTTGATCCTGGACACTCAGTGTAGGATATAGTTAAACAGTAACTGCTTAACCACTGCCATGCCAGGCCTTCCTCAAATACACCTTTAACTTAACACACAGTGTCACAGAGAAGATGCATCAGCCCCTGAGTCTCCATGGAAAAGCACAACCATACATCTGATAAATGCCATAGAAGTTAATGTTCTTCAAAAGTTATGCAGATGGCCAAGTTGCCCTCACAAAGAGCGACTAGCACATTCCAATGCAAGTGATACATGCCCTTTCTTAAAGCTTGGCTTCCATAGTGTGAGCTGTAAGAAGTCCTGGGCCTCAGACTGTTTGTGCTCTTGCATATGCATTTCTTCATGTCACTCTCAGCTGACTCATTCTTTAAGGGAAATTTTTTACTTACCATAGTTGTTCTTCCTATGAGTAGTTATGTGAATAGATTTTTTTTCTACTTAAAATTGGTTAGCTTATTCTCTTTTGCTTTATGAACTCTGTGTTATATCCTGATGTTTGTATATCTTGTGAATTTCTGATGTCGCATTGGAATAGCAGTGTATGTTTGGCCTTTTGAGGACTCACTGACAGTCCACCAGCCAGAGGTACAACTTTTTGTGTGATACATTGATAGAGCATTCTTCACTGAATGCAGAATGATGTAAAAGTAGAATGTTAGGAAACATAGTTTGTTTTCATTTAATTTTCAGATAGCCAAGTGAAGATTTCCAATGAGAATTTCAAAAGACAAGACGGGATGATATAATAAATTTGGTCCTAAAAGTTTAGGAACTACCAGTTCAGCAAACAAAGCTTACCCATGTTACTCAAACCCTCTCTGTTGTCTTATACATAGCCTATAGAAATTATTGGTTTTATCATTTTTAAAAAAATAAATCAACTCATATGGAGTGGATTGGAAACAACTTGTTCTATAAAACACTTCAATGAAAAAAAAAAAAACATTGCTACTGATTGCCTGTGACATCACACTCAAAAAGACATGAGGAAGTAATTAAACTAAAATACTTTCTCATGATAACTATAATAACCTGTAAATGTTTAGAAATAGCCCAAACTTTATGATCAAAAAAGTTAAATATTCATTTAATTTCTCAAGATTCGGAAACATGTCTGTGCCAGTGTTTCATATAGAGGAAGAGAGGAGCAAATCATAGCTATCATCAACCCGTCCCTGTCCAAACATGTCTCAGAAGATCATATTCGGTGATGTTCTAGGAGTAGTATCTCCATAATCTGCTGTGGTCTCCTGATAACTGATCCAGGCTAGCTGAACTTTATAGAATAAAATCAAAGCAGTTGACACTTGAACTCTCTTCCACACACAAGACCTGCAGCTATTTCTGTCCGTTTTCCCTAGTCCACATGCGAACAGTCTTTATCAGAGATCCTTAAATACAAGTGCATACGCTCCCTTTGTTATCTCTGTATTTCACACCAAGAACACTTACGAGATTTTTCATAATGTGAATTTTTACATTTTCAGTTATAGAAGCATTTCCTACAGTTTGGACATTATTCTTCCTCTAGGTTTTTCAACCTGAAGCTTTTTTTTGCACTGACTTTTCTAACCTGAATAAATTTTTAATTTCTATATTAACTGACAGATATGGAAGCAACTCACAGCCTGATTTAAATGATGAAAGATGCCTGTTAAATACCTGGAATTTTAGTGCTTCTAGAAACAGTGTCCAGAAAACACAGCAACAGAGTGAAGGGTTTTCTTCTCAATTACTATTTTATTGTGTGTTTCTTTAATGAATTTTTTAAACTTGTTTAATGTGGAAAAAATTGTTATGTGTTCCATTAATTTATATTGTGTTCATTCTTTTTCAGTTCTGGTTATTATGTAACCTCAAGTACTTTATCAGTTCTTTTAAAATATTTTATAAAATGATTGTTAAAATATGGAGTCGGGGTACTTTATTTTTTTAAATGAACACAACCGTGTCACAGCATTTCTATGTTGTAATTTTTCTTCTTGGTGTTGAAGAAAAAGACATTTGATTTGTGAGCCAGTTGGACAGAGTGGCACCAAGGCACTCATCCTAGGTGATTCATTTGTCAAATACTAAAACTATAATTTTATGATAGTGTAATAGATAAAATTCTCTCTTGTCATAGAACTGAATGTCCAAGTTACATTAGGGTGACAAGTTAGAAAATGGGGTCTTAGGCGAAAGGCCCCAAGTACAATGTTTTTCGTCATAATTGTTGCAGCTAACCAGTAGTAAAAATTCTTTATTTTCCTAATCCTTTCTTGCTGGCCAGTGTACAGTGGGAAGCTACTGAGATTTTTTATTATTATTATTTTTATTTTATACCACAAACAAAATATTCTAGAATTAATTGATACATGCACAGAGATGGTAATTACTCCCGGAAAGCACAGGAATAAAATGAAATTGGAGCTACATTTAAGGAAGTGACTTCAGTGCAATAAATACTGCAAGTGACCACACTGTACCAGAATGACGTGTATGGTAAGTGCTTAAGAACTAATTACTAGGTTCAGACTATGTTCAAGGAAGTTAATTTTGAAGCATTTAATATTTTCTACAACCCTGCCTCTTCCAGCTTTGGAAATTGGGATGAACAGTTCACTCAGGAGATTTGACATGTCCTAGTGCTGAATCATCAACGCTTTGTCAACTTAAGAGAGAAGCATAATTCTTCAGGTTAGGAAAGAACTCCAGGGAGCAATCCCTTTCCCCCCCAAAAAAAAAATTGTTTGGGCAAAGGCAAGTGGTGGTAGAGCTTCAAGTTGAGGGACTGGGCGTGGCAGCCCAGAGTATGGGAACCACAAGATTGTGGATCACCAAGATCAGAGGTGACAGCCATCAATGTCATCAATCACCTTTGAATCTAGAAGAATCAAATTGTGCCAGGGGTTTGCCATGTCAATGGCAACCAAACAGGGTGAAAAGAAATTTAATTTCCTTTCCTTATGTTTCTTTGATTTGGGTTTTCAAGAGAAACTAAGATATTTTCTTTTTTTTCTCGTTAGAATATTTTGCTTTCTTTTTTCATGAGTCTGTTTAGTTTAAAAGCCAGAGACAAACAGAAACAGAGCTTCCATCCACTGGTTAACGCCACAAAAGCCCATAACAGCCAGAGCTGTGCCAGGCAGAAGCCAGGAATTCCACTTCAGTCTCCCCTGAGGAATTTAGAGAATATTTTTCAGAATGCACAGTACAATGGCACAGTGTCAGAAGTGGAAGGGGAACTTGATCCGAGCCATTGCATTATAGGAGGTGAATGTAAGTGAGAGCTTCCCAGGCTGCACCACAACATGCACTCCAGCAAAATTATTTTGTTTCTTTTATGTACACTACCATATTTTGAGTGTGAATTGTGACAACCAGGGCTTTTTTGGATAATCTCTATACAGCCTCCATGGCACTTGTGAACTATCTAGAGTTCAGATCAGATCATTTCTCTGGATAAGTGCCTTAGTTGGCTGGCTGTGGCAGTAATTCCTATTGCACGTGTCTTTCTACCTTCTAGCTGCAGCTCCTGTTCACTCTGCCAAGCTTGTCGATGCTGAGTGTGTCCCATATCTGCACGTTATTCTTTCTCCCCATTCACTCTGCCCAACTCTTACTTAATCTTGAAAATGAACTCAAGCGTTGCTTCTTGAAGAATATTCTGCCTTATCCTGCAAGGTGAGTTGAGTGTACCATCTATGTGTTTCACATAGCTTGCACGGGGAGGAAGTGTGTCTAAAGGAGTCTGTGTCCCAAATTAATGGAGACCCCAGCATATTACACACTAAGTGTTTCAAATATAAAATTGCATTTCTCAGTAGCCAGTAATTGGAAAAGTGCAGAGTTCTAGTCCAAGTTATGCTGCAAGCGAACTATGTGGAAAGACATCTCTTTGCTTTGGTCTTTTTTGACTTGGGTAGATATGTTAAACAATTAAAGTGATCACTAACAGCATTTGGTCCCATTCACTATATCAGGAATAAAAGTGTGAAATAACTACAAAAAACCAGATTCACCAAATGAAAGCCAGAATTGTTTTCTTCTAATGTGTTTTTTAGTTGGTAGAGAAGCTGAGAGAATACTTCCTCATGGAGTGATAATGATGGGTATCTGTTTAAGAGAATACTCCGCAGAAATTTCCACGGCAATTCAACAGTGGTTACAGCTATAGGCTTTGAAGCCAGATTGAATCAGTTCCCACCATTGTCACTTCCTAACTAGCCCTGTGATTTTAGAAATGTATTCGGTGTTGCCTATGTAAATAACAACCTACCTACAGTGAAGATTAAATGCAGTGCCTGGTATTTAATGGACAGTGAGTAAATGACAGGGAATTTAAACTACACTGCATCTCAGAATCCCCAACTAGACAGCAAAGGAAAATGTGTGATTTGTTCTGAGCTTATATAGCAAGGAGTCGTTCGAGCAGCCTTTACACATCCGGAACAAGAGTATTTCAGGTCTTGAAGAGTAATAAGCCGCCACAGTGCCAGCTATACCCTCAAAGCTATACCCTCATTCTGTGCTTGCTCCCTTAAAGCCCCAATGTGAAAGAGGCAGAAATTAGTGGTGGTGAGCAAGCAGGAATGGCAAGGTCAGCCCACATTCAAAAGTTGTTTGCTTTCCCATTGATAATCACCTGGAGCAAACATTGAAAGCACTCTTAACTTTGCAGGAGATATAAAGTCCCTGTCTTATTTTAGTTTAAAATTATTCACGTGGGCCCGGCACGATAGTGTAGTGGTTAAAGTCCTCACTTTGCATGCCCAGGATCCCATATGGTCACCGGTCCTAATCCCGGCAGCCCCATTTCCCATCCTGCTCCCTGCTTATGGCCTGGGAAAGCAGTCGAGGACAGCCCAAATCCTTGGGACCCTGCACCCACATGGGAGACCCAGAAGAGATCCTGGCCCCTGGCTTCGGATTGGCAAAGTTCCGGCTGTTGCGCTCACTTGGGGAATGAGCCATCAGATGGAAGATCTTCCTCTCTGTCTCTCCTCCTCTCTGTATATTTGGCTTTGCAATAAAAATAAATAAATCTTTAAAAATAAATAAAACTATTCATGCACAAGAAATCATTTTATCTTGGGGGTATGGTGAAAAGGAACACAGCCAGCCACTGGATTCTCACATAGTAGTAGTACCATGTTGACGAAGAAAGCTGGAAACCACACATGTTAACCATGTGCTTTCAGCTTGTCAAAAAGGCACAATGAGAGGGCAATGATAAGGGCATGGATTGGGTCTATTTCTCCCCATCCAAATTATGATACCTCCAGGAGACAGTCCACACAGATATTTTATTCCGTTGGATTCTGTTCAGACATAGAGTACCTGCCGTCTCTGAGCGGAGTGAAGCCACACTGTGGAAAGCACTCAGCAGGAAGTCAACGTTCCAACCTGTAACTTAAGAACACGCATGTGACCTTCATGACAAAGCCCACATGGGCATTTACCACACACCTTTAAAATCAAAATCTAGATTTTTGAATGTAGGCCAATCTCACTGGAGGTAGGTAGAACCTCAATGTAATTTTTATTTGTATTTCGCTAATAGCTAGGGAGCCTGAGTGATGTTTCAAATGTCAATTAGCCATTTGAATTTGTTCTTTTGAAAAATGCCTCCTCATTAAATCCATTGAGGATCCACCTAACTCTGGTAAGATTGGCCTACATTCAGAAATCTGCTAACACCTGGCATGGATTTGGGGGAAAACTGTTGGTGTGAATGTAGGCTAGTGCAGCCACCATGGAAGTCAATATGGAGAGTGCTAAGATAACGGAAACTTGATCTACCATTTGACCAGCTGTCTCATTGCTGGGAATACATCCAGAGAAAGTGAAATCTGCATATAACAAGCGACACGCACCCCAGTGTTTATAACACAATCCACAATAGTAAAGACATGTTAACAAACCAAATGTCATTGATGGGGAATGGACTAAAAAAAAAATGGTACATCTACTCCATAAAATACTTCTCAGTCACATAAAAAGAATGAAATTCTACCATTTACAACAAAGAAGTCCCAACTAGAGACCATTATGTTCAGTGACATAAGTCAATACCAAAAGGACAAATGTAAGTTCTCTCTGATACAAAGGCAACCTTTGTGCAAAACACAAAGCAAATAGATATATAGGTAAACATGTATATAGATATATTCTCATGGATCAACTGTACAATGGAGACTAGCATACCAGGAAATAAAGATACATTGCAGTATGCATCTCTTCTCCCACATAAAAAGAGGATTTCCAATGAAATTAATAAACCTTGACTTATGATACTAGACTTTCTACCATTGCCTATACCTACATTGCCATGATACAGTTAAATAGCAGAATTTTGGACTTGTGACTCTTGCTAAAGGACTATACTATTGTGGTAATATAGGGGGAAAACAGTGGGGGAGGTAAAAGCGGGGGTGATGGGGAGAGAGGAAGAGGAGGTGGAGGAGGGGATCCTTCAAAACCGTATCATGGAAAATAATAACAATAAGAAATACAAAAAATTAAAAGCTGAAAATGCATTGCAGTTGAAACCCTGGAGGAAAAAGAATGTGGTTCCTTTCCTTCAACACTCCTCACTGATCCTAGTGCTGGTGCATAAGCAGAAGCATATGAGCAGAGTGAAGCAGTCAAAAGGAGTACACCCTGCTGATGCTGTGCTCATCAACTCTGATGTTGACACTTGGTCAGACTGGGAAACTATGGACTGAAGAAGAATGCAGGTGACTAGGTGAAGCATCAAGAGTCAGCAGCAGGGATTGAAGGCAAGGCATCAATGTGTGATATGGACAGTCCACCAGTTACAAATGTTCGAACAACTGCCATTTCATTTTAAATGAACATTTGTGGTGCTAACTCAAATAATCAGAGTCTGGTTGGAGAATCAAAGTTAGAAGCTATTCAGCATTCAGTGAGGACAGAAACTTGGAAGCAGTCTGAAATGGCTGCTTCGCCAGCTTCTGTTGGGTAACAGATTTTATATGCTTCTGGTGAAATAAATAAGTACATTGAATTAAGCTTCAACAAGACAAGTGTATGTGTGGTTAACAACCCTATGTAAAAGATCAAGAATGTTACTAGGTAATGGCTATGATCTTGGTTATTGATTAAATCATATATTAAATTCCTTGTTATCTTTATGCAGGGAAACTTTGGAACAATGATGTCATTAATTATTCAGACAATGGGATAGCTGATATTTTTTTTCTTCTATGAATGACCAAAAGTGTAAAGCTCCCCTCTTCTTAAGCTACAGAAGGTATTTCTTAAGTCACAGGGTTTCTTGCAAAGTCCTGTTACCCATGGATGGGATCACCTTTTATCTTCATTGATTAAGTGGTGTCCTGGCTGAGTGGTATTTGCAGTTATGATTCAATTCTTAAACCTACAGTAATTCCCATGGCTTAAAAAACAAAAGTGCCAAAACACAACAGCCATCACTAGAGGATCCTTTTATAGCAGATGCTTGGGTTGGACAGGTTCACTTCATTTCTCTGGAAATACTTCCTGATGGCAAATTAGTTCTCTCTGGATATCATCCTGCAAACTATGGCAAATGCTCCCCAGAATCTCCTTTTTCACCCATCAGTGCAGGGCCCCATCCCATCCCCAAAGTTCCTCCACTGCAGGCATTCTGTCTGCCTCAGCAAGCTATTCAGACCTTGTTGGTTCATGTGAAGTATGTGAAATGTGAAATGAAACACATGCCAGTAACTTACCTCAAACAAGCAAGACTTTTCTGAAATATTCCTCAAAAA